AGTACATCTGGCAGAAGCTGGGGGCATTTAAATTGTCTAGAATAAATAGCACTTAAAGCATTAGAAGAACTCAGCTTGGCAGCTTTTAGCTTGCTTGTGTGCAGAGAGCTCTAAAGGAGACATGGCTGCTGAAATTCACACCGAGAACAGAGGAGACAGCCAATCAGAGGGAGGGTGGTCTCAAAGAGGGTTGGTTTCAAGAGAAGGTACCTTTAGAACCCTCTTACACTGCTGGTGGGAGTGCAAACTGGTCCAGCCACTATGGAAAGCTGTGTGGAGTTTCCTCAGAACACTAAAAATTGATCTTCCACGTGATCCAGCTATTCTACTCCTGGGAATCTACCCAAGGGACACAAAACCATTAATTATAAAGAAAACATACACTCCTGTATTTATTGCAGCAACATTTACAATAGCTGTAATATGGAAACAACCCAAATGCCCCAAAATAGACGAGTGGATCAAAAAGATGTGGTACATACACACAATCAAAAAAGATAAACTCATACCATTTGCAGCAACGTGGATGGGGTTGGAAGGAATGATGTTCAGTGAAATAAGTCAGAAGGAAAAAGAAAAATAGGGCCTCCCCTGGTGGCACAGGCAGTTGAGCGCAGCGCTGTGAAGCTGTGAGCAGCCTCTGCAGTGCTGGCTCAATCCCGCCCAGCCAGTAAGGGTCCCACATGGTGCAGCAGACCTCTCCTGTCGCACCCTCTGCTCCCCTCAGCAGTGTATTTCATCAGTCTGCCTGTTCTGCTCCCTGCTATGTCTCTGGTGAATCCTCTCACCTGTGCATCTGGCCTGTACCCCAGTTCTTGCATAAGTAAATAAATAAATCTTTAAAAAAAAAAAAGAAAAAGAAAAATATCAGATGGTTTCACTTGTAGGAGGAATATAGGGAAACTGATCAAAGGATCAGGAAAAAGATAAAACTTGCAAACTGACCATAGAAGGTAGGCAGACAGCAGGGGAGGGAGGTGGAGAGTGGGTCAAAACAGATGAGGGAAGAGCACAAGGGACTCTGGTGATGGTGCACAGGTGCTATAGTGGTGGGAGAACTATGGGCACTACACCTAAGGGGGGAAATCAAATATAGTACAAAAATGAACAACAATGTAAGAAAATAAATAATTAAAACAACAACAAGAGAAGATACCCTTTATCCTTCCATTCTCACCCCAAAGTGAGAACTCTATTCCTTTATTCCTAGGTGTTTTGTTTAGGAAATTAACAGGAAATTCTTTGTGGTTAACAATTATGTGTTATTTCTGTTTATATTCCAAGAGTCTAGTGGAGGAGCTTTCAACTCAGTCCCAACTGCAAGTTGGGACCACCAGGAAGAGCTTATAAGTAATACTGTTGATTTGCACTAGGGTGGATGGTGGAATCATCCTAGAGAGGGAAAGACAAGTGTGGATTCCTGGAGGTTGATGCAAGTTATAATATATTACCTCCTGGGAGGAGAGAATAGAGAGAGTCATTCACCTTGCAAACATGAACTCTTTCACATGCCAAACCTCTGGGTCCTCACACAGCCTGAAGCCACCCCCATGAAGCTCAGCTGACCATCTTGAAAAAGAAAAATATCAACACACTTGGGATCACTGAATTAACACTGCTCTGGGCAAGAGTTTGGCAGCAATCTGGATGTGTGTGTGGCCCGTCCTTGTGATACGGCCACCTTTTGAGTAGTTTGTAGTCAGGGAGATACCTGTTCTCTGAGGAACACTGCTCCTGACAGCCTGCGGGGCCAGCAAATTTGTTTGATGTATTTGGAACCATCACAAGACCATCTTCTCTCCACACTTGGTAATGAGCCATATGTCCTACAGGAAACATGACCAGCTTTGCATCCTTGAATTTTTGGGGGGTGAAAAGTGGGAAGGGGTTGGCAGGTCTCCAAGGAGAGGAGTGAAAATTAAAGACTGTTTTTATTTCAGACACTCTAAAATGCAGAAGTCCTGGAACTCAAAAAATGTTACCAACTAGAAGGAAGATTGGAGACAAAAGAGACTTTGAAGAAAGGTTCTGGACAGTATTGCCCTGAGAATAAGACAACTGTGGACCCACCATTCTGGCTTTACTCACTCAGTCCAGCCAAATGTCACTGCCTTGCCTCCTGACTGTTCCTCCTGAGAGATCTGTTGTCTGACCCAAGGGCACACTGTTACTGCTCTCTTCTAGAAGTCCAGTAACAGTAACACCTTCATTTACAATTCTATCTCTTCCCAAAGACATGTTCCTTTGGAAAACCATCACTGCTAGAGCTTAAAGTACAGGAAAGAGGAGTAATGTCCTCCAAGATATGGAAACACTTCTCCCATGATCCCCACAGGAACTAATCCTTTTCTTCTGGACTCCATGGCCAGTGGCACCTTTGCTCACTAAGCCTGTGGGATCAGCCCAAGCCATCAGTGCAGAAGGCACCTCTCCTGGGCCCACCAGATCTGAGTGTGAGGACATGCTGGGACCCAAATGCCAGCCTGTACACAGCTAAGGGATAGATGCGATGAGAAGTGAACTGGAAGGGTCAGACCTCTTGTGACATAGCCTACTGTTCCCATTTTGTTTTTTCCTGCACAACTGGCTCTTTTTGCCAAGCATGTCAGAGCATCTCCATGGAAACCACTTTATCAACCGGGTGCCATCTCACTGATGCTACAGTAAATGTTGTTGTTCTTCGGAATAATGGGCCAGATTCCCAAGTGTGAGGGCACAGACCCTGGTATGATGGTGTTTGCAAGCACATGTGTGCCTTCCTTTGTACATCCTTTTCTTCCCAGAACTTTTAAATAAAGCTGATTTGCTGGTGCATAACAAGTCCTGGTTTCTTGATGCTATAAATAAAGGGGAGGGTAGCTTTTAGTCTGTCAAGGTCTTGGTTCTCATTCAAACAGGTTAACAAGGAAGCAGACGGGAGGGGACAGAGAAAGGGATAAAGAGAGGCCAGATGGTGGCAGGTAGCTATTAAGAAATCAAAGGTGGAGAGAAGAGTGGGGAAAGATGAACTCAGGAAGGTTTCTATTACCAGTGCACGCAAAGCTGGCCTGGGTTTTGGGGGACTCTCACATGGGCCCTCTTCTTCCTGGCCCTACTTCCTATCCATATCCTGTACACACATATGCCCACACCACACCACACCACACCACACCACAAGCACATACCACATATACACCACGCACCACAAAACATGCACACACACCACGTACCACAGACACTTATCACATACCACATATATACACTCAGCACACATCCCACATGGATGCATCACACCACGTATGTGACACATACCAAACATACCAGATTGCATGCACACACATCTCACACCACTCACAATTCACATACACACACAACACAAACACACATGCACACATACCACAGACACCATACGTACACACCACACACCTCACATGCACACATTACACACACAGAATCACATACATTCACACTAAGTGCATGGACTTTAGACACTCAGTCAACAACTTATAACCCAAACTTTGTGAGAAATACAGTGAGAGATACCTTGGTGAGCAAGCAGTTCCTACCCAGGAAAAGTTTAGAAATCCTGAAAGATACAGATTGGCGTACAGAAAGCTGAAAGCTGACGTGTGTGTGCGTGGAAAACTAAGGTGGCAGAGTTTAGGGAGACCCCATATCTGGAATAAGAATCAGAAGTTGGCTTTTCCCATTTCTCTTATGTAATCACTTGACTGTCAATTTCCATTTTCTCACCTATAAAATGGGCCAAGTTGACTCACCGCGCAGGATGTCGACAAGGAACAAATAAGAATTGCCTGAAAGTTTCCAAGCAAATAAAAGAAATTGTTACGACCAAATCCTGCATGGGCTTTCAGAGAAGACCTAATAGAAGATGTATTTAAAATAGTCCTTGAATTTCAACAGGCAGATTCAAGCAGACAAAGCCCTGAAGACAATTATAGCAAGGGGAACCACGGGAGCAGTCAGGTTGGAATTGCCGCTCCTCTTGGGGGCCTCTGGCAGGAGAGTGGAGGAGCACCAGGGACTTGAAGGGACAGACTGTGAACAACCTCCCAGGGACAGATGTTTCAGGAGCTCTGAACCAGCTTAGGTTGCCCCACAGGGAATCAAAGCAAATAATCCGATATTTACTGAGGACTGCTGTTTGCAGGCAACGTGCTAGGCATAGAAGGAAGCACGATCCACAGCCCTTGAGATGGTGACAATCCAGGCAAGGAGACAGACATGAAAATGCAAGCTCAATTTCGCCACCTCCTGACTTCTCTTTCAGATGCCAGCGCTGTGGCGGTAAGTGCCCAGATGTTTTGTCCACATAATGCAAAACAATTGAGTATTTGAAATCAACCAGGGATTTGCCTGAAGTTTTACCTTTTCATCCAAACATTTGATACAGAAGTCATGTTCAGCCTTTATTCTGAATATATCAAGAACTCAACCAAACGGGCCACAACAAAAGGTCCATCGGTTTCCTTAGAGGTGTAATTGTCCTTCTCAAACTGCTGCTGTCCAGTCTGAGTCACGCATCACAAATGCTGAAAACATTCAGATAATATTTCAATAGCTAAGAATATCTTGGGATAAGTGGTTTGCTTCCCCTGATACTAACCGGTAATATCTACCTGACATCATTCTAGAAGAATGAATGTCTTACTCCCCAGGGTACTTTGGAAAACCCGATCACAAAGCACCACACATCACATCAATTCAACATCTCACATAAGCTACCTCATTAACTTTCACAATCATCTCTAGAAGCTCTATTTCTGAACCCATCTTCTGGAGAAGCTGAAGTTCAGAGGGGCAAATTCAGGATTGGAGCACAAGCCTTCCAGCTCCAGAATCATCTCTGATGGCCCAATAACACAACAACAACCATAAAACCACCAACAAAAACAGCTCTCCTTTCTTGCGCAAGTACCACCTGCTTCCCTGTGAGGTGACAATGGGCCCTTTGAGGATGAGTGGAATCCTGGGCGACCTCACTGGCCCAGATAACTTCCTGCAATTTCCGGGGCATGAACCCTGACAGTGGAGTGTCTGCCTTTTCAGGCTGACTGTTCCCTGGTCAGAGGGGATCAATGACCAGCCAGGTAAGTATCACAGTGTCAGCCAGGGGGAGTTAAAAATATTCGTGGAAAATTTTAGACTGAACAATAAAATGTGAGTGCTTAGTGACCAAAAGAGATGCAAACCGTCTCTAAGGGAAAGGAAGAAATTTCTTCCATTGAAAATGATTCCAATTTGTCAGTCTCCTTTAAACACAAAGGTTCCAGAGGGGAAAGTCAGCTTTTAAAATAGCTAATTACTTGTTAAAATGTACCAATGTTCCCGGGGACAAGTTCATCTGCATGTGAATTAGGTGCCCACAGTAGTTATAATCGTCCAATTATGTGTCATAAAGGGGAAGAATAGAATTTAAGACAAAAAAATACAGTCTGTCTTGGGTCACAGGCATGTGTCTGGAAAACTGGGAGAGAGGGATGGTGGGTCCTGACCCTCAGGAAGCAGATCTGAACACTGGGAAGTATAGACCAATTAAATCTCCTGCCTGCTGCGGGAAAAACTGCCCACAAGGGGCTCAGATGTGTGCAGGAGCTGACACTCTGACTGTGGAAGTCATTTTGGAAAATCACAGAGGTTTAGGAACTCAGGAGGGGATCTGCAGCTACTTTTGCTAGAATAAAAGAGCCTGTTAGGGATGAAAGGAATCATATCCTTTGTCTGCCATCTTTACCCCCTCCAGCCACCATCCATGGTGGTCCAGGAGCTCCTAGGATTTTTGACCATCTGATCAGTCAACCCAGCAAGGAAATGAAGACATAGAAAGAAGACAACAGCCCACTCAAAAAGTAGGTCACAGAACCCCAACTCACCATTCACAGGGAGGGGGCAGGGTAGTTAAGCATCTTTTTGCTAGCCTTCTTAGTGAGGATAACTATGACTTCTCAATACTGGGGCTCAGTTTTAGTTTTCTGCTCATTTAAATATTTTCTAAATGAATATAAAATAACTATCCTAGACTTCCAGAGAAGATTTCAGGATGACCTCCAGAAGCCTGCTGAGCTACTTTGGTGTTGCAACCATTTCTCCATGGCGGATTGGAAGGAAAAGAGCACAGGAGTGAGAAACAGTGGTAGGTCTTGGGGGAATACAGGCGGTCAGTAAAAGTCAGCCAAAGTCCCATAGATTTTGGACTGTTCTTTCTAATGAGTTCCTAGGCTCTGAAATGTAGTCCTCTCTTCTCCTTACGGGACTGCAAACAAATTTATCAGCCCCTTTCCATAACCTGGGTTTATGAGAAAAGAGAGGCCCAGATAGTGCAGAGCCAGGTTTTTTAAACCAACATTCACTCATAGATTCAATGCAATGCCAACAAAAATGCCAGTATTATTAATATAAATCAATGAATTTGTTCTAAAATTCCAATGGGAATACAAAGGACTGAGGATAACTCGGATAATCCTCATTCTGCCCGCTAACACTCTTAAGAGGAATAGTAGGGCAAGTTGGGGATAATTAGGCAGCCTCAAGGACATTGCAGGGACTTCAGGAGAATTCAGGACAACAAATAAGGACAACAAATTCCAAAGGGGACTAATCAAACACCCCAGCACTAAGGTCAACAGAGCATCCCAAATTGAGGACAATAAAGAAGAAAGATAAGGGCTGGGGCACAGAGACTTAGTTCTGGGCAGAGAGACATTAGGGAAGTGAGTAAGACATCTGAGAACTAGCCAATCACAAGGAGAGTGGTGGAGCTTTAGAATAATCAGGGGAAAAAGGTGTGTATTCCCTGAGACATGACTCCACTTTGGCTTCCTTGCCCCTCCCTGGCCTGGTTCCCTGGCCTGGGAGTCCCACTTTATTTCTGTTTCTTTTCTCCTCAATAAACTTTTTCTTTCTTTAAACAAAGCTGCCTCTTCTCTCTGCTTGCTTGAGCATCTGTGAAGTTCCTGCTGCGGCTTCGTGAGACACCAACCCGTGGTGGTCTAGTGGCTGGGACTGAGTGCTTCCCCTGCAGCCTGGGATCCATTCCTGGCTGGGAGACCAGGCCTGAAAACCTACAATTCTGGCATCAGAGATACTTCCCCAAAACACACTAACTCCATCGGCAAGCACCAAGGAAATACTAGCTCTTCTCTGGGCACTGGGTGCTGACAACCATTACAAAAGAGAATGAGAAACTGCCCTAAAGGAATATAGACAATTCTTACATATCAGCCTTGATTTCCTGGGAAACTCCTCTATCACTTATGTTAAAAGGAGAAACATGCACGTGCACGCACGTGCACACACGTGCGCGCACACACACACTATCATTATCCTCAGAGGGAAATGAATGCCTCCATAAAATCATCATAGTGCTAGCCAAGTCTGTGGGGGCCAGAAAATGGTGTGGCTGTGGCTGCTGAGATACTAACATTAGCCAACAAAGAGAACATAAATGATTTTAGTAATGAAGATGGGAAACTTCAGAAGCAGGACTGAGCTTTGAGCAGCCTCTGGGCTACTCAGAACTGAATGCTTTCTGGTTCAGATCTGCTCTCTTCTTCCATCCCTCAACACTACTAACTCCTCTTCCCAGACCTTTGTTGCTTTAAAGCTTTAAAGAGAAAGAGAATGGAAGTGCACCAAGGCCACCCTGCCCCAAGGCATCTGAAGATCAAAGGTATAAGTATGGGGAGAGGGGATAGGGAAAGAACTCACTCTGCTGGACACAGGAACCCAAGTCACCACCCTACCCTTCCCATGGGTTAAAACAGTTTAGGGTAACCCCAAATTTAACTGATGCAGTTCAGACCAGGTTGCTAGTGGGGAAGAGAAATGATCTTATGTGTAGGGTCCAACCATGACCACCAATAACTGGAAGTATGATTCTGGTAAGTTTTCTTACATTCTCTCAATCTCTTTAGTTCTCAGTTATCCTAGTTAGTAAGTTGTCAACGTATCTTGAGCTCCTGCAATGCATCAGGTACCAAACTGGAAAAGCAATGCATAACCTTGATCCACAAAACTTTCATAATGCAAAAATGATATGACAGATGCAATTGTGCTCTAAAGAGTATCTGTGGCAGAAAGGAATTACTAGCATTATGGGTCTGGGATGGGAGTGAAAATTAATATTCAGAAACCCTATTTAAATGAGGTTAAAAGGCACAAAGAGAGTGCTAGTATTTGCATATTTAGCAATCTACAGGACCCAGCAAGCCTTCACATCTTTCCTGGGAGGTGAGAGTCCTGCCCCATGCACCCCAGCAGAAGGAAGAAGGAGCTTTTGGTGGAGACTGAGAGAGGTACATTCACACATAGAGGTGTAAAGCTGTACATCCCAAATTTTACTATTATGCAAACTAGTGACAAGTCAATCCCAAATTATACAGTTATGCAAACTAGTGACAAGTCAATAAAACTCACTCATTCAATCAATCATTGAATAAATAGAATAAAGGAGATCCTCCAAAAGCTACAGGGAATTGCTGGCCTTTCTCTTGAGCTATATTCTTTTTTGGGTCATTTCTGAATTACCCATTTGTTGGCATAATAAGTTATTGCTTGTTTTGGTTTGAGATCAACATATTTTGTGGCCTCTACAGGGTGTCAGATATATATCTGGAAACTCTGAAGCTGTTGGAAACTCTCCATGTTGGTATCCACGGAGATACTTGAGCAAATTGCTTTGTCATTGATCATAGAATCTAGACTCTTCTCCTGGATTTGAGATCCCCGTTTTTCCTATTGTTATTTCCAGTGCTTATTGAGAATTTGTCCTTTGTAAGGCCTTGTTTTATTTTTATCTGGGGGTACTGTGAGTAGTACCCCCAGAATTTTGGGCTATCTCACAGAAACTGTCAGCCTTTGGCAGCCTTCTTTTTGTAACGGGGTAATCTTCAGGGAAAGGGGAGGTTCCAGGTTCCCTGCCCAACCCTAACTAAGAGTGGAGCTGAGCAGGGAGGAGAAGCTTCAGAAAAGACTGTGAGAAGGAAGGACGGAGAGCAAGGAGACCTGGGGGAGTCACATGGAGCAGGGAGACATGTGAAGAAGCTACACTTGCTTTTCAGCTTTGGGCTTGTACCAGAGACTTGGGGGACATGGAAGGAGACACTTGAAAAAGACAGAGATGTGGGTGAGAGACCCATGGGGTGGCTGACAACGGCAGCCTTTATCTTGACTAGGGTTTTGATTTTGCTCCTTTTCTTCCATACTTGCCTGGACCTATCTGCCCCTTTTTTATGGGTTCCGAGCAAGAGGAGTTTTATACTTGTGGCAAACTTTTGGACCTCATTGGTCCTGCTTTGAGCCAACCCTGTTTGGCTGGGCATTTACCCACGAGGGGCTGGGTAACTTTGGATACTTGATTTGGAAACTCTATTCTTTCTCTTTTCTTTTCTTTGTTGTAAACTAACTGTATTAAAGTTATTTTTTTATTGAAGGTCTTAATGCACTAGAGTATGTTTTGTCTTGATGAGGCAGATGGCAGATCCTATTTAGAGCAGGCAGTCTGGGGGTTCCGGGATGGCCCCCACCCTTCCCTGTAACATTATGAATTCAGGTGTCTTATTGTTGTAGAGCAACCCCGATACAAAACGGGGTGCCTGACTGTGGGTCCTCACCCGCACGCTTAAAAGGACTTATCAATGCTCTACTGCAGGCACACACAAAAGGTTAATGAAAGGTTTATTTATAAGGGAAGGGGAAATGAGGAAATGTACTGCTCAGGGAGAAAAGTGGGAGACAAAGTTTTAAATGAGTCCTACCCGATCCACCGATCAGGAATCCCAAAATGGCACTCTGAGAGCTGGCCGCCAGCCAGGAGCGGTGAAGCCAGGAGGCGAGCGATAGCGAGCCCCACCAAGGCCCACGTGTTTGGTTTTTATATCCAACCTGGCTGCCCAACTCCACCTTCAGGTCCCAGCCACCTTCCCTTTGGTGGTGATGGGATTTGTCTTTTCCAATGACCTGATGGCTTTAGTCTGGAGTGGGGGTGGAGTCCACAAAGCCTGTATGGGATTAGCTCAGGACATCCTTTCCCCCTAACATTATTAGAGCAGGATTGGCCTTCCATCACTTCCTTAGGAATGGATTTTTCCTCCCTGGGATTGCTGCCATTTGCTAGCATGCTGAGAAATTGCACTCAGCCAGATGGTCCTGAGAAAGGACTCTATCATTGGAATTGTGCTGGTCTGCACTTTGACCTTCTCATTCCGGGAACAGGTTATTCTGCTGGAAATCAGGCTGGTATCTGAATATTCTGGCCCTATCTCCTGTGGAGATGGAGGTTGTCTAAAGAGGAGCAGGCCATTTGGGAATTCCTGGTGCTAATAAAAGAACAAAATAGGATCTCAACCATCGAGATGGCTGAAGGTCATTCCTCCTGAAGGAACCCCTGCCAGCTTAATGTTTCAGAGCTATAGTCCTTTCACGTGTGCATTTCTAACTAAATGCACTGACTTAACTAAAAGTAATTTAGAATTTCAATTGTCATTATGGGGAACCTTTGAACTCCCTAAACTTGCTTTTCCTAAAATTGAATTGGGTGGTCATGGCTCTGAAATTGCTACAACTGAATGGAAGAAAGCTTTTTTTGATTGCTGTCTGGAAGCCTCCAAACATAACCAAGAGTCTAGAATTGCCTCTTTGCCAAATAAAATTTTAAATTAAACAAGCAAATAACTATTAAGGAAAAATAAAATGACTTCCAAGATTGCCCGTTTTCATCCCGCACATCTTTGTGTCCAGAGGTGTGGCTGCAGTTCGTGCTCAGGCCCTGCCTCCAGTGCCATTTTGACCTCTCTCCCAAAGACCTCTCTTCTAGAATCTCAACTTACGCATTCTACTTCTGCTGAACCTCCTTTAATACTGAGCCTTTTCCCTCTTACGTTCTTAAAACCTGTCCTTTCAAATTGAGCCTTCCGAGCCTCCACACAAACCTCAGGTCTCTTGTGTTCCTTGGTCTAAGGAATTGCAAACCATATTTAAAGTTTTCCTGAAGGACAGACTTACCTCAGAGGAACTGCAGGTTCAGACAAGCCACAATAAAGCAAGTGTCACAAGTGAATCACATGAGTTATGTTCACACGTTACTATATTCTGTTAAGTGTGCAATAGCATTATTTCTCAAGAAAACATAGGCATACCTTACATGACCCAGAGATAGGAAGTGAGAATATGCTATTGGGAAAATGGTGTTGATAGTCTCACTCAACAGAGGTTGCCACAAACTTTCAATTTGTTTAAAAAAAAAAAAAAATCTGTGAAGTGCAATAAAACAAAGTATGCCTGTAAAGGAGACCCCTCCTAGGTTTGATAAAGAATTTAACATAATCATGCAAACCTGTCAATCTGGTTTTTCTGAACTTTTCCCAGTTATTTCATATGCTTACTGCTGAGGGTCAAGCCAAACCATGTATGAAACTTACCAGATGGGAAAACTCATGAAACAATTTTTGTCAAGAAATGAGGAAACTCACTGATAAACTATTCCAAATGATTAAAATGGCTTATCTTAAGTCTGTTGATTAGAATACAATTCCAGCTTTTGTACACAAAAACTTGATGAGCTTGTCGATAATTATTATAATCGGCTTCAAATTGTCTTCTGTTGAAAATTCAGGTTTACCTTCTAATGCTAGATCCGTGAGAGTATCCTTGAACTCTATGCTTGTTAATGGGTTGAGTGGAGATATTTCTGATCTGGTGAAGAAAAACAGAGTAGAATGGGGAATTGTGTTGACTTCAGATCTAGTTAATTTGGCAAATTAGCTCACTTGCATCTTAAATAAGTGACTTAAAAGAAAGATTGCA